TGGACTCTCTGCTCAGCAGGGAGCCTGCTTTCCCTCTCTGTCTCTGCCTGCCTCTCTGCCTACTTGTGACCTCTCTGTCTGTCAAGTAAATAAATAAAATCTTTAAAAAAACAACAACAAACTTTCATCTGTGTTGTAGTATGGATCACTACTGCCTCCTTTTTATGGCCAAATAAGCCATTCCGATAATTCCACTGTATTATTCATTTTTATTATTATTCATTAGTTTATGGACATTTTGTTTCCATCCTTGGGCTATTAGGGATAATCCCGTTATGAACATTTATGTGCGTGTTTTTGTGTAGACTTATGTCTGCGTTTCTCTTCAGTGTATACCTCAGAGTGGAATTGCGGGTCACGTGGTAATTCTAATGCTCAACTTTTTGAGGAACTAGCAGACTGTTTTCCAAAGCAGCTGCCCCATTTTATGTTCCCTCCAGCATTAGTGTATGAGGCTTTCGGTTTTTTCCACGACCTCAGCAACACTGTTATTTATTGTGTTATTTATTTATTTATATCTGTTATTTATTGTGTTATTGTGCCTTTAAAAATTATAGCCCTGCACATACCTCTTGACCTGGTGGTTCTATTTCTAGAAATACATACTATGTGATGTAGTACACGTCGGTAATAAATACACTAGGGGTAGCTGGGTGGCTGAAACGGTTAAGCGTCAGACTCTCGGTTTCATCTCCTAAGTTGTGAGGTGGGTCTGGCTCCCCGCTCAGGGGGCGTCTGCTTGGATATTGTCTCTCTCGGCCCCTTCCCCTCCTCCCTCTTGCTCTCTCTCTCTCTCTAAAATAAATTAATTTTTAAAAAGGGCCTCCTTCCTTTAAAATTTTATTTTATTTTAGGTAAGGATTTCATTTATTTATTTGACAGAGAGATACAGCAAGAAAGGGAACACAAGCAAGGAGAGTGGGAGAGGGAGAAGCAGACTCCCCGCAGAGCAGGGAGCCCAACACGAGGCTCAATCCCAAGACCCTGGGACCATGACCTGAGCCGAAGGCAGATGCTTAACAACTAAGCCACCCAGGCGCCCCTAAAAAAAATTTTTTTTAAACAATAATTTTTTAAAAAATTTATTTAACAGAGAGAGATCACAAGTAGGCAGAGAGGCAGGCAGAGAGAGAGAGAGGAGGAAGCAGGCTCCCTGCCAAGCAGAGAGCCCGATGAGGGATTGGATCCCAGAACCCTGAGATCATGACCTGAACCAAAGGCAGATGCTTAATGACAGAGCCACCCAGGCACTCCTAAAAAAAATTTTTTTAAATAGTAAATACACTAGATGACACACATCATATTTGGCAGCAATGTCTGTAATAGAAAATTCTGGAAATATCCTATATTTCTGTCAATAAGGGACAAGAGAAAAATACTGGGTACATCCATACAATGGAGATCTACGTGGCTGTTAAACAAACAAACAAATCTATAACGATACGGAAAGAGCATGAAACTATACTAAATGATAAGTGCAGAGTGTCGAGCAGGGAGAATGTGATTGTTTGTTGAAAGTGTGGGTATGTGAACAATCTCATATACATACAGAAAAGCTCTGCAAGAACAGATCAGAATCCAGGGAAAACTGAGGGAAGCTGAGGGCACTGGTAGAAGAGAGATGAGCATTGGGAAACCTCTTTCATACCTTCCAGGCTGTATACAACGCAAATATATGACCCTGATTAAAATGAAAGCTTTAAAACACTGGAAACTAGGGGTACCCAGGTGGCTCAGTCGGTTAAGCATCTCCCTTCACCTCAGGTCATAATGTCGGGGTCCTGGGTTCGAGCCCCACATCAGGCTTCCTGCCCTTCCCCCACCCCGGCTCCTGTTCTCTCTCTCTCTCTCTCTCAAATAAATAAAATCTTTAAAAAACAAAATACTGGAAGCTAAACAGAACCTCTGTGTAGGCCTGATGTAACTGGGAGGCAGTCTGCCTTGTCCATTTCAACCCTCTTCCCTAAGGGAACTGACAGCACAGTGAGACAACTAAGGGACTTCCTTGGGTCCCTCAGGAATCAGTGGTGGCACCGGGAGATACTTCTGTACCCTTGTTTGTATAAAGTAAGTGACTAAAAAAAGGAAATCAACCAACCATGGCCAAGGGCTCAGGAAGGAAGCTGTGTTCACTTCCTGTTGCTGCTGCAACCAATTACCATAGCCTTCGTGGCTTTTCTGAGCTTCTAGTGCCCACCTTTCCTCCTGGGCTTTATTCCCAGCCAGACAATCCAGGATAATCTCCCCAGCTCAAGGTCCTCAACTCCATCACATCTTCGCAATCCCTTTTGCCACTCAAGGGTGAGGGCATGGATATGTCTTCAGGGGGTCATTACCCAGCCAGTGCCGGGACCCTCACACCAGACAGTTTAACGCATTTCAGGTAGACAGATCAGGTGGAGGCTTGTGGACATGAACCAGAGTGAGGTCATTCATTGCATTCAGGAAAGAACTGCAGGGAAGAGGCAGCCAGCACAACCAGTGTTCTAGGGTAGACAAGAGTGAGAAAAGACAGCCAAGGTGAGCTCAGATGATAATCTGTCCATGCCCTCTGGACCCTGGCCTCCCTTCCTTCCCCAGGGCCCAGGCCATCCAACATTCATGTGCAGGAAAATAAGAACCAGTTCCCTAAAGAGATCCAGCTCTCCGAGAGTCTGAGATGCTAACTAGGAGGCATGCTGGCTTCCAGAAAGAGCCAGTCCTACTCCGGTGCTTGCGGAGGACGGAAGGGGCAGCCCACATCGGTGCTCCTGGCCTCTCATCGCCCCCCCTCCCCAACCACATGTGAGGCCAGACTGAAGGCAAGCCCCACACCCAGACACAAAGCTGCCATTCATGCCCCAGCTCAGGGCAGAGCCGTGGAGGCAAACAGTCCGGCATTTATAGCAGGAAGCACAGCCCCATCGCCTACAGACACAGTCCCTCATCTGAGATTGGCAAGGAACAAGCAAGGATCACCAGACAGGACCCCGTTGAAATGTGCACACCGTAATCACGTGGACTTTTTTGAAAAGTACTGACCAGTTCCCTGGTATAGATCCCCCATTTTCAATGTCTGAATTTTTGCTGGTTATTAAATGTAGGGGTAACTTTCCCCCCCGCCATAAGAATTCTGCATGAGTAATTTTGTGTATTTTCTAGAGTGTCACATCAAGAGACACTTGATGTCCTAGTGTCCCACTCTTGGGGATACCATTTGATCCTTTGGTTAAGAGGGTGTCAGCCAGAAACTGCCTCCCACTAGGTAGGTACATTTTTCCCATTTGTAATGAATAAGTCATCTGTTGGGTAATAATTCTGGACTGTTCTCCAACATTTTACCAATGGTTTTAGCATCCTTTGATGATCCAATTATTTTACTGGGGACGCTCGATGGTTTTGGTTTTGTTTTGTTTTGTTTTTATTTATCTGCAATAAGCTGTATTATTTGTTGAAATAAATTGTTTAGTGCTTCTAAACTTGCATAAACTATACAGGCTGCACCTGGCCCACAGAAGGTGTTTAATACTGGTATCGATTTAAAAAATCATCGCTACAATTCGTTATGCACAAACAAACCTGCTTCATAAATCAGGCCCCCAAACTCTTCAGGCAATCAGGCCTGACTAAACTGACATCAGGTCATTTATAACTTCGGTTCCACTAAGTGTATATTTTTCTCCGTAGATGCTGCGAAGCAGAAATATCACGTGATCGTGTTGTACCATCCTGACCTTGCTGGGACTCTTGCAGTACCCTGGATATGGTATTCTATAGCCTTCTAGAATTAAAAAAAAAAAAAATCCGGACCCCCAAACCATATAGCCCTAAGCCTTTCAAGTAAGGGACTGTGTGTGGCTCTGTATTAAAAATACCACCAATAATAAAATAATTTTACAACCCACAGTAGAAAATGCTTCCTAAGGAGTTGGTACAAGTGAGAGGTCACCTTTCTTCGGAGCCGTAAGCGCAGGACCTCGCACCCTCCTCACGATGGCGCTGTGGTGCCTCGCTGAGGCTCCTAGCAGAGGACACCTGGGGAACCCATGCTCCAAGCCTTGCCAGTTGTGTGACCCCCAAACACGAGACTTGCAACCCGTGCAAAGACCACGTAACTCTGGGCCTCAGTTTCTCGTGAGAGACGTCCTTGGGGTTGCGCACAGAAAGCATTTAGCACAGCGCCTGCTAGGAGCGAGCGCCTGGGGTAACTGGGCCGGGCAACAAGGCCTGGCGTTCAGAAGTCTCGCTCTGGGACAACCCAGGTCAATCTCTTGATTGAAGTCCCTTGGGCCATCTAGGTCAATCGGAAGGAAGGGCGGCCCAAGAGGTCGTGAGAGAAATGGGTGGGGGGGCCCATTCTTACTGATACTAAACTTAGGATTAATTGGTTTGTCTACAGTTTAAGGGAGCGGGCGGGTTTCCAAAGTAGGGACACACGGGTTGTCGCTGCCGCTGCCGCAGACAAGTCTGTGTGGGAGAGAGGGTCCCCTTAAGAGCAGACCTGGGCTTCTGAGACTCTCTCTGCTGGGGACACAGCGCAATGCGAGAGCATCTCTGTGGATAGGCACTTGATCCAGAGTTGCAAACCGGGCCCAGGGTCGGAGTCACAGCTATGCCATTTACAGCACTGGCCAGATGGCGGGAGAGACGTTTCCAATGGCGGAGGCGGCTGCAGGCAGGAGGCCGGCACGAGAAGGAAACAAGATTTGCCGGGAGGAGGCGGCTGGGACAAGGCCCACGGCGGAAGCTCTCGGGGAGGTGGACCTCACCCCGCGGAGGTGGCTGGGGTGGGCACGAGGATGGGGTGCCAGATCACAGGGCGCCCGGCAGCAGGTGCCCACGTGGGCCAAGTGTAGGCTCTCCCAGGGGCGGGCCCCCGGCTCCCAGAGCGCGGGGGCTGCGTCTCCTCCCCGCCGGTCTCGCGGCAGCTGGGCCCTCCCCCGGCGCCGGCAGCCTCGCGGATCCCGCCCCTGCCTACCTCCTGCCTGCGGCAGCCGCCTGCCGGCCAATCTCCCAGCAGCCGGCCCCCGCGTCCGCCTCCGGTCGTCAACCCCCCCGCCCCCGCAGAGGACCGACTGCCCAGACCGCGTGTCCCGGGGCTCCCTGGGCGGGGCCGATCCCAGGGAGCCCCCTGACTGCCTCCCAGAGCTGGGTGGGGAAAGGGAGCTTAGCCCGCCGCCGCCTCCGAGCTGGCCGCCAGGTGAGCGCCGGGACAGGTAGGGACGCAGGTCGGGACCCGTGTCCGGTCCCCACTCACTTCCGCCCCAGACCCTACCGGGAGGGGCGGGTCCCCGGGAGTCCCGTGCCCCAGACCCCCTCCCCGGGCCCTCCCTGGGCCCTCCCCGGGTCCCAGGCTCCGCCAGCCCCCTGCGCCCCTTTAAGCCCAGAGTCACGCACACGTTTGAAAAGCCCCAGGTGGTACGGAAAGGGCTTTGCTTTTTAGAACGGGTCCTCTGACGCCCACGCCTTGCACCCCGTTGCTCCTCGGCGGAGGCCACCCTGGGGTAACCCCCCCCCAAAAAAAACCGTCCCCGATCAACACGTGTACACAGCAGCCAGCGAAAAGGCCAGACCACTTTTTACCAGTTCTGGTTTCTGTCTCTTCTGGCTGGCGGCCCCTTCGCAGAATCCGTGAATCAGAAGTCTCCGAACACCGTGTCTTGATTTAGCAAGTTTGTTTTTAGCTGCGGCCGCTCTTCCCAATTTAAGTTTTGTTCTACTAAGTTAACTTTTCCAAGTGTTGAGCAGTATCTTGTGACGCTCTGTGTCCTGTTCTTTATGTCTGGATCCTTCAGCTTAGCGTCTAGTAACTAACAATCTGGAAAGATAGCGGTATTAGAAACCTACTTTTAAAATAAATAATGTTTTAAGTGCCCCGGTATGACATAAGAACAAAAGATGAATAAGGCAGACAAAGCTCCGCATCAAGCAAAGCCCTGAAAACAGCACTCGCCCCCCCCCAAACCCCGCAACCCACAGTCAGTTAAAATTTTATGGGATTAAATGACTTTTCAGAAATGGCCAAAGTAATTGTGATCTGTGGTGCGTTTTTTTTAAACCTTTGCTCCTTGTTATTTCTCTGGTAGTTCCTTACATCTTTAAAGCAAATTCTGGGCTGATTTCTTACTTTGTCAACTTTTAGACAATGTCCAGTAATCCCTTACTAAAAATAGATGGAGACAGCTTTCCTAGTGCCCAAGTTTCCCTCCTCCCTGGATAATCACACATTCCTTGTTGTTTCTCTGTTGGGTGCTTTTGTAACATCAAACAAACAAACAAACAAACAAAACCCACCTTTTTAAACATGTTCCTTATTCCATTAAATTTTTGTTGTTGTTGCATTAAATATTTATAGGATCTTTTGACTCCCCATTTTGTGAGGCCTAGCTGAGGAATCCGCTTTAATAATGTTTTTTTAAATAAAGTTTTTATATTTATTTAAATACTAATTTTTTCACCCAATGGAGTCATATATGTGGTTCACAAATAGAAATGAGTCTACCTTTTTTTTTTTCTATTATAGAAGTACTGTCTCTTTAAGAAAATGGAAAGGTCAGTGTTTTAGACATAGAAGGGTTAGGGAGACATGACTACCCTCTGCAGTGTGTGAGTCCCCAATTTTGTCAGAAAAAGCTACAAAAGACCTTTTTGAGACAATGGGGGAAGTTGTTCATGGACTGAATATTAGATAGCAGAATGGATTTCTTTGTACTGGGGTGCCTGGGTGGCTCAGTGGGTTAAAGCCTCTGCCTTCAGCTCAGGCCATAATCCCAGGGTCCTGGGATCTAGCCCCAGGAGCCCCACATCAGGCTCTCTGCTTGGCGGGGAGCCTGCCTCTCTGCCTACTTGTAATCTCTGCCAAATAAATAAATAAAATCTTTAAAAAAAAAAAAAAGGAAGGAAAAGAAATGGTGTTAAGTGGTAATGTAGACCTGTAGTGCCCCCTATTCTTTCTTTTTTTATAAATTTTTTATTTAAATTCAATTTAGTTAACATATAGTGTATTATTAGTTTCAGGGCTAGAATTTAGTGATTTGTCATTTGCTTATAACACCCAGTGCTCATTACTCTTTTTTTTTTTTTTTAAGATTTTTTATTTATGTATTTGACAGAGAGAGAGAGCACAAGCAGACAGAGGGAGAGGGAGAAGCAGGCTCCCTGCTGAGGAGGGAGCCCAATGCAGGGCTCGATCCCCGGACCCTGAGATCATGACCTGAGCCAAAAGCAGGCACTTAACCGACTGAGCCACCCAGGTGCCCCTACCCCTTACTCTCTCTTAGAAGATGCACCTTGAAGTATTTAAGAATTCATCAAAGGACAGAAAGCAAATATGGCAAAATGTGGAACATACAGAGATATTCATTTTACCATTCTTTCAACTTTAACATGATGAAACTTTTATGGTAAAATCTGGGGAAAATAAGGCAAGGTAGAAACTAAGAAAGGGGGACGCCTGGGTGGCTCAGTGGGTTAGAGCCTCTGTCCTCAGCTCAGTCATGATCCCAGGGTCCTGGGATGGAGCCCCCGCATTGTCTCTGCTCAGCAGGGAGCCTGCTTCCCCCCTCTCTCTCTGCCTGCCTCTCTGCTTGCTTGTGAACTCTGTAAAATAAGTGAATAAAATCTTAAAAAAAAAAAAGAAACTAAGAAGGGGATCAAGACATACATACAGCAGGAACTCTGGAGTCTTGCACACCCAGGTTCACATCCCAGCTCTGCTGCTCGCGTGTCACGTGACCTTGGGTCCGTGGCTCTGCCTCCCCAAGCCTCAGTTTCCCCAGCTGAAAAATGGCAGCTCCCTCTTGGAGCTGTTCGTGATATTTCTTTTTTTTTTTTTTTTTTAAGATTTTATTTATTTATTTGACAGAGAGAGATCACAAGTACACAGAGAGGCAGGCAGAGAGAGAGAGGAGGAAGCAGGCTCCCTGCTGAGCAGAGAGCCCGATGTGGGGCTCCATCCCAGGACCCTGGGATCGTGACCTGAGCCGAAGGCAGAGGCTTTAACCCACTGAGCCACCCAGGTGCCCCTGTTCATGATATTTCTGTGAGATTTTGTAAAGCCCTCGCTTGTGTGTAGAGCGGTCATGGGCAGTTAACCACATCTATTAGTGAAGGATTTTTCTCAACTATCATAGTGTGCTATGCTAACATCATAACTACAGCTGGGCCCTTCCTTCTATTCTTTTAATCTAGAGATAGATTTTTTTTTTTTAAGTAGTCTCCGTGCCTAACTCAGGACTTGAACTCAGAACCCTGGGATCGAGACCTGAGATCAAAAGTCAGCACTCTGCTGACCGAACCAGCCAGGTGCCCCAAGATAGATTTTGAACTTGGCATTTCTTTTTCCTTTTTAAAATTCACCCAATGGCTCTGATCTCGACATTGGTCATTTTTTGCCCTGCTGTGTTTGGTCCTGACTTCCTAGGCATGGGTCCCCTGAGCCCCCATTCCTATAGCTGGGTTTCGGTGACGTCATGATTCTGATAGGGAGGTGAGGTGCACGCTGCAGTCCCACAGCTGGGCATGATCTACAAACATAGTAATGATGTCTGGGGCCAGGCCTTGATTGTGCTTAATTTACCTGTAACCACAAAGAGGTGGGAATTATTGGAAGTCCGCAGTATCTGATCTAAAACTTTGGGGCCTGGGTGTTAGACTTTCTGAATGGGAGGCAAGCCCTGGGGAACCCATTCTGAATGTTACAGAAGACCCGTGGTGGGACTGGGGAGCGCCGTAATCAAACACACTGGTATTTTCTTCAGTGAAATGCATGTTCACACTCAGTGAGATAATCAAATCTCACATCAGTTTGACTCCTTTCTGCCACTGAATGGGTCTGGGAACGACTTCTGGTTTTCAGACTTTTTGGCCCTGGAGAGAGGGGATGGGTACCTGCCCATTTCTCATTTTATGGAGAGGAAATTCCACTCAGAGAGGGAAGGCCATTTCCCCAAGGTCATGAACAGGAGTTTGCGGTGGGGCTGAGCCAGGGCTGACTGACCATAGAGAAGCTGCAACGTTCACCTCTCCCCAGTCCTCCACCCCCACTCATGGCCTGTCACCAGTAATTCCCAAAAGCAATGTCCCTTGCTCGCCTTGTGATGCCTTCTCTCCCAGAAATATCACTGTTGCCTCCTGGGAATAAATGAGATGATGCACAGAAAGAATTTTCCAGAGTGCCTTGCACAAAGAAAGCCCTTGGCAAATGTGAATTGTAATTTGTGCTGAGATGGGATGAGACTGTTTCCTTCTTGGGTTCAGTAACATTGGTGGTGTTTATCGACAGCATTAATATTTTTAAAATTATGAAATAGAACATCCATCCGAACAGGAAAGTATATAAAACAGAGGCATACATCTGTGTACATCTGCACATTGTGAAATATGTAACCGGGGCCCAGGTCAACTGCAAGGACATTGTTAGCCCCCAGAAGCTTCCCCGGGTGACTCTGGTTAATAGCCTTCTCCCTCCCGTGGGAGGGGACCACTACCCTGACTTCTATAATACTCATTTTGCTATTTTGCTCTTCTTTCTATGGTTTTAGCACTTGTGTGTCCATCTATTAACAATATTTGATTCGATTAGCCTGTTTGTGAACTTTCTAAAGGTAGTGCCATTAGTGTTGAGCAATTTACCATTCAAGCCAGGAAATTTTGGAAGCAATAGGGGTCACTAATTACCCTAATGACCCTGGGACAATATTTGCGGTAGATGGGGATTGCCCCAGGCAACTCAGGCTGTCTGGTTGTGCTAGAACTCACACCTTAGGTTCCTGGTCGCATCTGGTGTCTCTCACCCCAAATGAACCTTTGGAAGCTCATCCATATGGTTGTGAGTGTTTGTCGTTAACTCCTGTTTATTGCTACGTCACGTACCGTTCTGTGACTCCCTTAATTTACCTCTCCATCCTACAGTGGATGGGCATCTGGGTCCTTTCCAGACTGGAGGTATTAGAAACAGTCGTGTCATGAATATTCTAGTGTGTGTTTGCTGCCTCTGGGGTCAAATTGCTGGGTCATGGGACAGGCGCATTTTCAACTTCAGTAAAAAAATGCCCATCTAGTTTCCACCGTGACTAGACCAGTGTATCCTCCCATCAGGACCATAGGCGAGTTCTCACTGATCGCATTTTAAGTAAACTATGGTGACAGTCTGCACTAGTCGGTCGGTTGTTGTTTTTTTTTTTTTTAAAGCATATTCTTTATGACGTGTGACGTT